TTCCAGGGGCTGCTGGACACGTACTGCGTCAGGAGGTGAGGACACCAGGTCCCCTCAGGGTGGCTTTGCCACCGTGGCAGAAGGGACAGACACATCCCTCCTTGCTCGGTGGCCTTGAAGGAGGGATGTTTCCACCTGGCAGCATCCCTGTGCTTTGCTGTTGCATGACGTAGGGCTTGGACCTGCTGCTGGAATCTATCCTGGGTCCCTGTCCCACCAGGCAAGTGACACTAACCCTCTTCTCGCCCATGCCAGGAGCGGCTTGCCGAACTTCTGTGCCGTGGCGCTGGCCCTGCACCAGCTGGGGTACCGGGCCATCGGGGTGCGCCTGGACAGCGGTGACCTGGCCCAGCAGTCCAAGGAGATCCGCCGAGTGCTCCGAGCCTGCGGTGCTCAGTGAGTCCTCCACCAAGCCTGGGTTGGCTGCCACCAGTTGCCGGCTTCCCCACCTTGGGCACCCAGCACCTCGTCCTGCCGGGGCGGGAGCCCTTGCTGCTCAGGGGGGTGCTGTGAGCAGAGCCAGGGGTCCCCCCAAACCCTCACTCACTCCCCTGCCCCTTTCCAGCTTCCAGGTGCCCTGGTTTGAGACCATCCCCATCGCCGTCAGCAACGACATCAGCGAGCAGAGCCTGGAGGAGTTCAGCCGGGAGGTGAGGTAGCTGCTGTTGGGGCTGGGACGTCACTTTGGCTTTTGCTGGCGCTGCTGAGGTTTGGGGTGTGTGGGGTGGACATAAGAGTCACCTGGGACTTTCTCCCTGGCTGAGAATAGAGAGGAGTTTTTAGGATGGAAAGAAATGCCTTCTGGGTGGGACAAATGGACAGACAGACACCGGGTACCTTCAGGCAGAGCATCCTCTGACCTGCTCCATGGCTCTGGTTTTGGCATGGGCTTAAAAACCAGTGGCAGGACTGGGCTGTTGATGGCCACTGTCTTCTCTGCTGCTTCAGGGGAGCGAGATCGACATGATCGGCGTCGGGACGAACCTGGTGACGTGTCCCCTGCAGCCGTCGCTGGGCTGTGTTTACAAGGTAGTGGTGGCGGCAGCTCTCTGCCGTGCTTGGCTTGTGGGGCATGGGGCTCCCTGGCTTCTCCCAGGCTTCACATGGCTGGGGCTGCGCAGCAAGGGGGGATCCGGCCCTAAGGGACGATGCTGCGAGGCCGGTATCATCAAATCATAGAATGGTTTGGGGTGGAAGGG